ATGTTCACTAAAGTTACTGTGGTAATCATTTCATGAGGTATGTGAAATCAAATCATTATGCTACACATCTTAAACTTACATAGTTTAAGATAGTGATAGTGGTATAATTTCCTGTTTTCAAACCGTGGTGGCAGATAGAGAATGCTCCATGTAATACTTTATGATGGGATACAAATGGCAGATCATATTCAAATAATGACATATTCTCACAGACATATCCACATTTTGATCAAACAATAAGACACTCTTTGGTGGGAAAGTAAGCAAAATTACTATCCATTTGGCCTATACTTATGAAGTTAACTTATAGTGTTAATTTTAAACATCAAAATACTAAATCAAAGATTTAGAGAGATCAAACATTGGTATTCTGTGAATAAAAATAAACATGTGACTAATCTCATTTACATAGTATTAAATTTTATTTTAGTAAATTTTAATGTTTTTAAGACTCCACATACAATACCAGTTAAGGGACTTAGCTATGGACAAATGAACAAACATTAAAATACACACTATTATAATTATGACCGATTTGTGCTGTTGTATGGCAGAAACCAACATATTACTGTAAAGCAATTATCCTTCAATTAAAAAAAGTAAAAATAAATAAAAATGCACTATTATCCAAAATGTAATATACAGATTTCATTGATTAAGACATAACATCATTGCTGCTTTTACCCGTATCCTGAATGATACCTTTGATTTAGCCAATGTAAATCACTTTAATGACTTATTTATTTAAGGAAAACATTTTAATAGGATGTAAGGAAATTTAAGGAAAGCATCTTAATTAAAGGAATTTAATTTCTTTAATGAATAAAGGAAATCATTTCTTACTTGTGCAAGATATATTCTTCTTCATTAAAAAAATCTGTCTAACATTTACTCTGTGCTAAACACTGTTTACAAGAAGGGAACACACACAGAAGTCCCTACCTTATAGATGTTTTATGGGAAGATAGGAAAGAAAACACACTATACAGCCCACTGAGATAAATGCCAAGGGAAAATAATTAAAACTGAGAAGGTAAATATGAGTTATTGGGTGAAAGGGGGCTGGGATGCAATTTTAAATAGGGCGGTCACTTGAAAAAAGTGACTCCAGACAGGAGCACGCCTAGGCGGTTTTTCAAAGAGAAACATGACTAGAATATTGGGAGTAGACCAAAGAGGCGGAGGAGGAGAGTTCACAGAAGTAATGAGAGGAAAGATGATATAGAGCCTTGTCGGTCCAAGAACAGGGCTCTGGCTTTTACGTTTTTACATGAATTTTTGAACTTGAGTCAGTCCTAGTGAGGTGGATGAACCTGGAGCCTGTTACACAGAGTGAAGGCATTCAAAAAGAGAAAAACAAATGTCGGAGCTTAATGCATATATATGGGATCTAGAAAAATGGTACTGGGGAACCTATTTGCAGGGCAGGAAGAGACGCAGGCACAGAAAACAAACCGGTGGACAAAGTTTGTGAGGGGAGGACGAAGGTGGGACAGACTGAGGGAGGTGCAGTCCCGAATACACCCCGCCACGTGGAGAACAGAGGGCTGGTGGGAAGGCGCCATAAAGCCAGCACAGCGAGCCGGCGCGGGGCTCCGTGGTGACCAGAGGGTGGGATGGAGGGGGTGGGAGGGTATATGAGGACGTGTAGCTGATGCACATTACCGTACAGCAGAAACCAACACAACACTGGAGTTATCTAATCAAAAGCAAAAGTCAAAAAAATTAAACAAAGTTAAAAATGAAAGCAAAGGATTCTGAACAAGGAAGAAATATAATCAGACTTACATTTTAAAAGGTCACTCTGGCTGCTGGACTGAGTACAGATCAAAGAGGGCAAAGATGCAAATACTGAGCACCATGAGGAGGTGACTGTCATAATCTAGGTAAGAGTGATGGAAGCTTGATCAGGAGGTGCAGTTGTGATTGTATCCTTATACCTCCAAGTTAGAGGTGAGAGCATTACCTGACATGTTAGAAAAATGTGCTGAAATAAAGAAACAACCCAATTGTCTCAGATATTTGACCTGAACCTCTAGAATGGTGGCGTTGCTAAAAACTAAATGGAGAAGATTGCAGAAGAAGCAGGTTTGGTGCAAATTATCAGGAACTCAGTTGGGTTCATTAGGCCTAAGATGTCAACTGAACAGGTCAGAAAAGATTTATTTAAAATCTAATCCAATTCTAGTCTCTTTTACTCTCTTATTTATAACTTCAGTTCAGTTCAGTCGCTCAGTCATGTCCGACTCTTTGCGACCCCATGAATTGCAGCACGCCGGGACTCCCTGTCCATCACCAACTCCCGGAGTTTACTCAAACTCATGCCCATCGAGTCGGTGATGCCATCCAGCCATCTCATCCTCTGTCGTCCCCTTCTCCTCCTGCCCCCAATCCCTCCCAGCATCAACTTGCCCAGTGACAAAACTTAGAAGAAAAGTACCCACAGACTCACACCTGCAAAGCCCAGCAGTGTTAACTAAACACTCCGTGTGGGTGCTCAGCCACTCGGTCCTGTCTGACTCCCAGGACTCTAGTAGGCTTCTCTGTCCATAGAATTTTTCAGGCAAGAATACTGGAATGGGTTGCCATTTCTTCCTCCTACCAAGGATCGAACCTGCATCTCCTGCATTGACAGGTGAATTGTTTCACCACTGAGCCACCTGGGAAACCCATTATATAACCACTGCCTCAATTATATGTCAATATGGACTATGACAGTGGTAAGACCAGTTATGGATTACACCAAATTCCTGATGACCATTCTTGACTCACTCCTTTGTTTACCTCTCAAGAGATCGATAGGTCATGTTAGATTGCAAAAGTAATTTGAAATAGTTAAGACTTAAATCAGTACTATGCTTTAGCACTTGACCTATTATTTTTAAAAAACTCCATTCAACATCTTTAACAATTACCAAAAGTTAAGAGCTGAAAGGATAAGGTGAAGTTCCATCAGTGGCATGTCAGAATTACAAGGACTTTCAGAAATTTTAAGAGGGAGGAGAAAAGAAACTTCAGTTTTAACATCACAGACTCTTTTACTTCCTAAAACCTATTTATAAATGCACATAAGCTGGTAAAAGAATTATAGCTTAATGGAAGATATCTGTTCTCAGAATCATCCTTCCATTAGCACTTTGTGAAAGAGGCTTTGTCATCCTCTCCTTGGGAGAAGGTAAATTCTTTCCCAACAGCCTTCTGTGTCCTGCATATAAATGGATGACATCTCCATAACTTAATGAATCATTCCAAAACATGTCCAGTCCTAGCTCAAGTTCAGCCTAATATGAATTGATAGCATGTGCAGACAGGGAGGTGTGTGTGTGGTAACTCTCATGCAGGCACATACATCTATACAGATGCAAACACACGGGGTCATGGATTTAGAATAATGATGGTTTTAATATGCGACCCTGTTGCTCCCTGAAACTTGACTGAATGAAAGAGATAATGCAAAAGAAATAATGCACCCTAAATGATGCCAACTATATGTAGTAATTTATAGAGGTTACTCACTAGTGCTTTAGAAGACTTATGCATCACAGATGTAACTGTTAATTACGTTACTGGAATATTTCTAATCACTTCAAAATTAACCTTTATATCCTCAGGAGGTTTGCATTTTTAAGAGTCACTTGGTGTCTCATAGAGAAACTAATTAGTCAACAAATGATAAGTACAGAAAGAACACAAATTAGCTCTTTGCTTACTGCTACATGGTGGTACCATGTGATTTGTATTGTAATTAGAATGTTTTATATTGCAAACACAAAATATTTAATTCAGGCATAGATAATAATAGCAGTTTCAAGTGTTCCGGGAAATATATTGACACATTCACTGGGCTTTACTCTTTAGGCATTCACAATGCAAGAAAGAAATGGTGGAAAAATAAATCTAACCATTTTCAAGGACATTTCTCTCTTCCATTACCATTGTGAGTCTTTACTTTGGAATAGTCAAAACAAGAAAAATTCAGAAATAGGCGACAGGTAATTTTTTAAATACATAAAAACATTTTTATAACATCTCCTGAGAAGTAGTTTTCCAAATATAAGGAGAAAAAGTTTATAGAGAAATCCTGTCAGTCATCCACAAAATGTTAAAAGCACCACGATGTGATGTTATTAATCTTATTTAATAAGGAATAAGAAAGAGGCAAAAACTGGGGGTTAAATTTTTAGTTATCTTTATTCTGCATGACCGAAAGCCTTGATCATTCCTACTTGTTTTGGTTTACTAACAAAATATCTTTCCTCTGTGCTAAGGAACAAAAACACAAAAAATGAGGGTCTTTTGACTTTCTTTATTACAATGATATTTTTTTTTCTTTATTACAATGATATTTAAATTGTGCCTTCTATGTACTCAAATTTTGTCTCTTCATTTAAAGAATTTTTATTTCACTTTCAGTAACTGATTCTTTATATTTTCTTCTTTTCTATTCAATATTTCTGTGCATTTTTGTTTCATTTTATATTTTCTCTTGGACCATCCTTGATTTATTTTTAACTTACTTTCAGATTCCTATATTCTCATGTATCTGGTTACATCCTTCTTCTGACTTTTGATGATGGTAACTGTTCTCAGTGTTAATTTTCTTCATGTATATCAAAGTAAGGACTCTGTAGCATGCATTGAAGTGAGGAATTTCTCTTCAGTGTTCACCCTTTGTCATCTAGCAATTTTGAAACTTTAATTTTTTCATCTACAAATTTTGAAATTTCTCTAGAAATTTTTAAATTTTCTTTGTTGTCTAGAAATTTTTAAATTTCTCTAGATTAACTCTTCTAGCAATGGAGGCTTTACCCAGATCCTGAGCGTTGGGTTATGTTCAATTTCTCCATCCTCCAAGAAGGGGGATTTAAATAAGTTTTATCCCTAATGACAATTCTAAGTCTTATTTTCATCACCTTTCACAAACATTGCAACCTCAGTCCAGCCTTTGCTTTCTATCCATGAGATTTTCTCTGTTCTCCTACCATAAATGAACACTTCTACTAGCAGTTCACATCACCAAGAGGATCATTTGTTGCTTTAGTCCTATTTGTTCCATTGTATTTTGGTTCTATAAGTGGGAGAAAGATGCTTATTTTTAATTTACAAATTTTCTAGGGTCTTCAGACTCTACTCTTCTGAGATGACAAAAAAACCCAAAACAGTGCAGCCTTTCAAGGTAAAAAGCAGGCAGCGTCTGCTAACTTTGCTCTCTGTTCTTATTCTCAACCATATCGTTATTGGATGTTCCTTCCTTTCTGTCCTAAGAATATTTTACAAAACTGAGTTTCCACTGTGGTCTAGTAAACAAAAATTTTTGAAATTAAATATCAAAGTTGTTAAAGACATCAGTTTTGACATTACAGAAGTAAGGTCAAATCTTATCACTTCAGTGAAACATTCGTCCTTCAAGAACTTGCAGTCTATCATATAAAATGAAGATAACAGTATTACCACAAAAAAGTTTAGCTGAGAAGAATAAATGAAGAGTGCTTAATTAAAATGGCCACACAACATTAACTATTTATATACTTAAAACCAGTTCTTTACCTTACAGACTACCCTTTATTGAAAATTATGAACCTCAAATAGGGAAAGATGAAAACATCATGTGCAAATCCAAATTCCTCAGCTTATACTTGGGCCTTTAAATTTACTGGAAATATATTCACATTTTTTTGATCATCAGTGCTCCTCCATCACATGTCTGCTACTGCTAAGTCACTTCAGTCATGTCCGACTCTGTGCGACCCTATCCCTGGGATTCTCCAGGCTAGAACACTGGAGTAGGTTGCCATTTCCTTCTCCAATGCATGAAAGTGAAAAGTGAAAGTGAAGTCGCTCAGTCATGTCTGACTCTTTGCGACCCCATGGACTGCAGCCTACCAGGCTCCTCCATCCATGGGATTTTCCAGGCAAGAGTACTGGAGTGGGCTGCCATTGCCTTCTCCACCATCACAGGTCAAAGAATAGTAAAGAGTTGGAGGTTCTGATGTTCCTTTTGACACTTTACTTTTTGGATATGAACTCCTAGAAGAGCAGGCAACTCTAAATTTACCATGTGCTACACTCTTCACCACCGAATCAGTTAGCACCACATTTATGCTTAACACAATGAAACATGAAATTTTTTGCACCCATAAGGAAATCCTCCCGATAGTAGTAAAAACTCACTGACCAATTCACTTACTGTGTGCCCTTAGATACATTAATATATTTGACTTTGAAGAAGTATTTTATCAGTTCATTGTGAATCCTCAGGTAACATATATAAATTGTTACCAAATTGTCTGATAAGCTAATAATGCAAAATTTACTTTAGGTCTACTTTCACCTTTGTCAACAGGTCTATCTTCAGGTTTCAGTGAGAAGCCATCCTAATAGCTGACTAACTTCAATAGCATAATGCCTGTTAAAATTTATTCATCTTCATGTTCCACTACAGGCTACTTTCACCATGAAATCTGTAACAAATGTAAATTTCCTGATCCAACCTCTTCTAAACCCCTTCTTTTATGTCTGACTTTTTGTTAGACACTATAAAGGGGGGAAAATTCAATTTTCTAACCTCTCATGCAACTTAGGAGTGGCCATGTGACACAGTTCTGGCTAAAGAAATATATATAGAAGTCCACATATGCCTCTCCCCTTCTTTTCTTCCTATCCAAAACATGCATGTGACACCTAAGACATAGAGTCATCTTTCAGTTACCAGGCAACACGTTAATGTGTTGAAGATAATGAAATGTTAAGAAAAGGCTTGGATTGCTAAGAGAATCACCATACCTGAATTAACTTCTTCCAGAGAAGAAGAAAAAATAAGTCACTATTTGATGTAAGACACGTGATATTTGCTCTTGAATGTACTACTATGTGGGGCTAGTGGTAAAGAACCCGCCTGCCCATGCAGGAGACTCAAGAGACATGGTTCCAATCCCCAGGTCAGGAGGATCCCCTGGAGGAGGCAATGGCAGCCCATTCCAGTATTCTTGCCCAGAGAATCCAACGGGTAGAGGAGCCTGGTGGACTATGGTCCATAGAGTTGCAAAGAGTCAGATCTGACTGAAAGCGATTTAGCATACATACATGAATACTACTATGTAACTTATCATTGAAGCTTTGTACTTGAGCGAGTGAGAAACTGTAAGAAGCAACGTTGCAGCAAGAAACCTAAAAATCTATGGTCACTCAGATAGCAGTTAAAACCTTGAATGTAACACTTTCTCTAAAGAACCCATTTCTCTTTATTTTGTTCTATTCTTTCCTCTGCTTTGCTGGGTTTAGTCACTCAGTCATGTCTGGCTCTTTGCAACCCCATGGACTATAGCCCGCCAGGCTCCTCAGTCCATGGGGATTCTCCAGGCAGGAATACTGGAGTGGGTTGTCATGCCCTCCTTCAGAAGATCTTCCCAACCCAGGGATCGAACCAAGGTCTCCTGCATTGCAGCCAGATTCTTTACTGTCTGAGCCACAAGAGAAGCCTAAGAATACTGGAGTGGGTAGGCCACCCCTTTCTGCAGGGGATATTCCTGACCCAGGAATAGAACCAGGGTCTCCTGCATGACAGGCAGATTCTTTACCAGCTGAGCTACCAGGGAAGGTATACCTCCCTCCATCCATATTATTTAATTTTTAAATTAAAATAATATACACATTAGATAAATATAACAGCAGATAAATACTTGTAATCCAAAGATGGTAATTCTTTGACCAGGTACTCTGAAAAAAATCCCTGTTTACTCTTTTTTGGTTATTTTCCTCCTGCTTTTCTCCATGTTTCTACAAAATATATTATTTCTTGACAATAAACATCAGACACTATAATTTTCCAATATTATATATGATAATTTGGCTACATTCAATCCCACATCTCTAACTTCCCCAGTAGGTTATAACATTTATCTTACTGAAATTACTAATCAGCCTTTGAATTATCATGAACAAAATAAAAGATATATGCTTATACTTTGTTTTTATGCAGCTTTTCCTGCTAGAATTTTTATTTGTCTGAAATTTAACAGGATGCACTTAAGTGTATTTGGATCCATTCATTCAAATGACTGACATGCTTCAGTTCTGAAACATTTTATATCATATATATTGATTATCTTTGTTCCATTTTCTCTGTTTCATCCATCTGATATTGAATCTTACAGAATCTCACCTCAGTTTTTATTTTTCCTCTCATAGTTGCTATCTTTCTATCCTTTTTTCCTAACAGATTTCTCTGTTTTTATCTAATCTTTCTTTTGGGTTTTTTTTTTTCATTATGGTCATCACAGTTTAAACTTCTAAGGGCTCTTTCTTGTTATTTTAAATAAGGTTATATTATTTTCTATATATGCAATTATTTCATACACCTCTTAACATGTGAGGATTGGACTTTCTTACATTTTTCTAGTATAGAGAATGAAAGTTTTCTTTTGTTCTGAAAGATAACAATAGTTATTCAGGGTTCACATTTTTCTATTTTTATAATCTCTGCTGCTCATGTTCAAGGGTTTATTCCCATGTTTGTTAACCACTGATTCATCCATTATATTTAATAATAAAATTGTCAAAAAAAAACTGATTAGAAGTTCTGTGGAAGAAATGGTCTATGTAAAGTGTGTTTGAAAAAAAGTTTTCATTTTCACTGAGGAACTATTCAGGTGTCAGTTTTATCAGAAGCTCTAGAAAGAGTAGATACCAGGCTCCTGGTATTTTGTTTGAGGGATGAGGGTGTAGATCTTAGAAGTTAACTATTTGATACCAATACTTTAAGCAGAGACATCACTTTGCCAACAAAGGTCCATCTAGTCAAACTATGGTTTTTCTTGTAGTTATGTATGGATGTTAAGAGTTGTATCATAAACAAAGCTGAGTGCTGACGAACTGATGCTTTTGAATAGCGGTATTGGAGAAGACTCTTGAGAGTTCCTTGGACTGCAAGGAGATCAAACCAGTAACTCTAAAGGAAATCAGTCCTGAATATTCATTGGAAGAATTGATGCTTGACCTGAAACTCCAATACTTTGGCCACCTGATGAGAAGAATTAACTTAAGACCTTGATGCTGGGAAAGATTGAAGGCAGGAGGAGAAGGGGACGACAAAGGAAGAGATGCTTGGATGGCATCACTGAGTCATGGACATGAGTTTGAGAAAGCTCTGGGAGTTGGTGATGGACAGGGAAGCCTGGCGTGCTGCAGTCTATGGGGTTGCAGAGTCAGACACGACTGAGCAACTGAACTGAACTGAACTGATGATACTCACTTCATTTTTTATTTTCACCTCCACATACCAAATTCTGCCTTCAGTCTCTGATTCTTTGATTGGCTCTTTATTTTAATCAAGTAGAGATACAGTCATTTGTGCCCAGGTTGAGAAGACATTGGTTCTGCTTCCTCCAAATACTGACTTCCAACCAATCCTCACGTTAAATCATTTAACTTGTCCCTGTCCTCCGTTTCAAGCAGCATCTTTGAGATGAGAACATCTTTTGGATTTAGTGACTCTAACTGACTTTCTTCTCACTCACATCAGTGTGATGTGAGAAGTATATTCTATACCTTCTTCCTCTCTAGCTTCATTTGTACAGAAAGTTTATGAAGGCTCAGTCCCATTTTATCTTTTACAAATTTTCATCTTTTCAATGGTTATATATTTAGAGTACTGGGTAAACTAAGAGAGAAACTTAGGCAGTCAACCCACATAACCAGTAAACGATATATTTTAGATGACATATGGTATATTTATACAACAAACAAAAGCTAAGATTAGCTGAAGGAATACCAAAGATAGCAATTACAATGTGTTCTGACATGCTTATCTTTCTATGAAGATGGATTGGAGAGTGCTTACTTTAAAGAGCCAATCATTTGGTAAAAGAAGAGCAGAATAATGAGTAAGTATTTGAAAAATAATGCCAATTAGAATGGCTTAAATAATTGGGAGCCTTTGGCCTAGAGGCGATAAGCTGGCAGTGAGAGAGGACTTAGTGCTCAGATGTCATGACTAGTTCTCCTCCTGTCTTTCATCTGAACAGACAGACAAGTAAGTAAAATGTAAAATACGTGCCTCAAAAGAAATTT